AAATGATGACATATATTGAATTTCTGTGTTTAGAAAAGCTTCAACAATCAGGTTCTATATCTTGAGGGGAAACATTTACAACACCCTGACATACATGTAAATAATGATATGTAGAATGAGAAAACCTCAAAGTTAAACTCTACAATGACATGTACTCCATTTTTCTGGTTTGACTATTATCCAAGTACAATGCCAACTTTACATTTTTTAAGGAATTCTTTTTAACAATTATTCAAACATAATTTAATGTGTGTAGTAAACAGAACTAGGAAAGGAATACTGCCTGAAAAAAATGCATTTCTTACAAATTAGTCTAAGAGTGATGGAAGAATCTAGAATAATTGTTTTTGATAATCAGGGACTACAATTTTCATCAGTCTTATTTGTTCTATGAACCAACAATAATGTCAGACATAGAAATTACCTTGAAAGTTTCTTTTCAGCCTTTACGGCAAGAAAATAACCATCAAAATGTTTCTTCTGACTTCGATTTAATCTGATCACTTGAATGACGTTAAGCTCTCGGTCGAAGTGCAAACACCCCTGTTGTCTTCTGGTTGGGGGGGGTGTTTTGCTGCTGCTTTTGTTGTCTTTTGTTCTGGGTCCTTGTAATTTGTTCTGCTTCTCCTCACCTCTATTGGCGAAATGTTCTCAAAATAATGTCATTAACGACATCATCAAAACAAAGTGCACTGGTCTGAGTGTCATGAGCGTGCAGCTTCCAGATCTGTGCAGTGTTCTGTGGTTGATGGGCAGAACATCTTTATGATGGGCAGTTATAGACATCATTTCTCATGCCTCACAGAGAAAATGGGAATGAAATGAAGGTGTTCTAAGAAATGTTTAGCAATCTGACTGATAGTACTTGACTAGTATATATCTAATTATACTTAATTTATTTTCTTTTAATAATCATCATAAATTTTTTATCTTTACAATACAAAAGAATTTCATATTAAAGACAGACACCAAGGTACATTTACTACAAATTTAAGCACAAGCACCATCATTCCTTTTTAGGAACATAGAATTAAATACATATACACACCTGCACATAAAGGTGTACATGCATACATGTCTACATGAATATATCTAATTTTTAATTATCTTAATTATAACATAGGATTAGTTTCCCTACTGAATGCCTATGATGTATGCTTACATGCTCTGGCATCTGTCACTGTTGGTAAATGATTTGATAGGGGTTAGCCCTGTGTGACAGTGAGGAAATGAAAGCATAGAGGCTTTAAGGCGCATGTTAGTAGGTGACAACTCTATGGACATTTGGAAGTTTTCTCCCAGTAGCCACTTAGCAATGCTGCCTCAGTTTCAATGTAATGTAAAAAGTAGGATTCCCACTCCTGCTCAGAGGTCAGGGGGTAGAATTATTGAGAAAGGCCATAAGCGATTAAATCCTTTACTAATTTCTGTCAAAGAGAAATAACACAGAGTTCATGAGGACTAAAACAAGGGGGCATATAGAGGGATTTGGAGTTACATGGTTTAAAACATTGCCATTGTGTTTCCAGTGGCTTAAAAATAGAATCAATACAGAGTTATCCTTCATCAGAGTGCAATTCTAGACTACGAAGAATAGGGCCTGTGAATGCAGCTGCCCTGGACAAATAACTGAACCAGCAGCCACCACAATCAGAGAGGAAGAACAGCTCGCGCACGCCCACGCTATAATGAGGTGTCAGGGCAGGGCAACCGGCTGCTAGGAAACCACCGCGTTGTTGCGTCAGGAGGGAAGGCAAATGAGCCCAGCAGACCCAGGGGCTCATGATAAATGCCAATGTCCACAAACAGCACGTGTGCATGGATCTCTGTGCAGAGTAAGGATTTTTCTACTCTCACAGAAGGGCTTGGTGAATGCAAGGGAGGGAGGGAAGGAGGGAGGAAAAGAGAGAGAGGGAGAGGGAGAGAGATTTCTAGCACATGCTGTCTAACAGTACTGATAATAATAATTTGTCCATTCAGTGACAAGAATTGCTATATTGCTATAATTGATGTGATATTTCCATGTTAGGTATTTTACTAACATGTACATTTTCTAACTAAAGAGCAATGCCTTGAAATTCTACCTGTCAAAGTGTATCTGGCACATGTTCTGTGAAGTGTAACCATGACACTGTCCAGAAATAACGTTCCCACAGAGTTCACTTTATGGCCTTCTCCAGTTCTGCAGACTGCAAGGCCTTTCTCCTCTAGATCCATTTATGGGCTCCTTTTTAGCCTGTAGTTCTATACACTGAGCAATTCCAGCCCTGGAGACTGGTATGCACTCTTAGAACCTAGGTCACTATCCATCTCAGTCATCATCTTTAGGTATCCAAAGTGGGAGAACAGAGGTCAGCACTGGGATCACAAAGATCCACTTATTTCTGCCTCCCAAGTGCTGGGGTTAAAACCACCACCACACCCAGCCCCTACTGGAATTATTTTAAAGAAGAGAATACAAGGAAAGATTTTTGTAACTGGCCATGGTCACTCTTGCCTCTAATCTAGCACATGGGTAGAAGACTGCTGCTGGTTCAAGGCCAGCTGGGGCTACATAGAGTTCCAGCCAAAAAATTTAAAAAAATTTTAAAAAGGAAAAGAAGAAAGACATTTAGAAAAAAAGAAGAAAAGAATGAGGAAGAGGAGAGGGGGAGGAGGAAGAGGAGGAGGGGAAGGAGAGAGAGGGGTGGGGCAAAAGGTTTTTGCTTATAAATTTGTTATGTTCCCTGTTTGCTATGGGTAGGAACCTAACTTAAGCTTAAATATGGGTTACCTTAGGTCAGAATCTAACAAACATTAGAAACAAAGACCAAAGTCCTAGACTCTGCATCTACCCTCCCAGAATTCTGCAATCATTACTGGCATTGTAAAATTCTACCTGTTGAGTCAGAGGCTCATTCTAGGCTGGACAGAAATAGATGTCACTCCGTGTTCCAGTGAGGCCAAAGCCAGCACTAGAAAGGTCGTCTTAGTTGCTTCATGTTGCTGTAACAAAATGCCTGACACTAGATGATTTATAAGCCACAGAAATTGTTTCACATAGTTCCGGAGGCTGGGAAGTTCACAGTAAAGGTGCTGGTATTCTGTATGTGAAGAGGATACCCTACTTTGATATGTCAGATACCAAAAAGGCAAAAGGAGTCAAACACGCCTCTTCTGTAAGGGTTCCAGTCTCACTCACATGGGAGGAATCTCAAACACATACATGCCCTCAAGGCCCCACCTCATCTCTGCTTTGGAGACTAGAAGACTGCACTCAGACCACAGCAGTTGGCTAGTAAGCTTGATTTCTAGACCCGTACTGGCTTTGTTTCTGGAAATAAAACTGAAAAGGTCATTCAATCTTCTGAATATTTTAAGAATAAGTAGATTTTACATTTTGCAGACTAAGCCAGATGGAGGATTTGGATTAAGGAGTCTCCATATTTAGATGGCCAAGCTGGTAGTGAAGGAAGCCCAAAAGATGTTATTTTTAGTCCTTGGAATTCTAGGCCAGATCTGGAAAGATTAGTGAAGAACTCTTGGATAATGTATATTAAAAGTTGCTCTAAAACCAAGGATCAAGGGTAGGAGGAACCATCAAAGGTAAATAATAGATCATAGGGGAGGGTATTAGAGAAAAGTGTGTGTGCTTAGTCCAAAGCCTGCCTGGGGAAGTCAGGGGCGGGTGCTCACTAGTGTGCCACTCTGCTATAGTTAGCTCACTCTACTGTAGTTCCCACCCTCGCTCTGCCTACTCCAACACCTGTGCCATGACACATCCAAATCAGAGCTGTTTTACCCTGGATTCCAGAATGTTTGGGAAAGTTGAAAGAAGAAAAGTTGGATTGGGAGTTTCATGATCCCTGTCCCTTTAATTTCCCATATCCATATATGATTATATACAACGGGTACACACTTCAATGCTGAATGCTCATTAAGGAGAGAAATACAGGTTAGAAGAAAGCCCAGATGAGACTCTCTAAGAACCATCCTTAAAGGTGCTCCCATCCCCCACCCCTTCCCCTCTCTGTGAAGCAGAAACATCTTCAGATGTTTGGTAAAAATCTCTCTTGTGTTTGCTCCACTGTAGTTTATAATTTACTTGCATAAGCGATTTATAGCCTGGATGTCCACTTCTTCACCATGTGCCTTTAAGATGGAGGCACACCATGATTTCCAGTGTCTTTAGGGCATCTCATGTTAAAGGATAAACTATAGGAAATATGTGAGTGACCCACTAAATATAAGAAAAATTATATATGCTTATTCTGTGTTATAGTTTATATGTCTAAGTGTACAATAATGAACCTTGTTTTAGTTAAGTACTGAGTAGATGTAGGAATAAAGGCACAATTTCCAGGCACAGATATGTGTTAAAATACAGCCCAGTACAGGAATCTACGGGAAAGTGAATTATTCATGATCTTGATACAATTCAGTCTGAGAAATTAAGTTGAGTTTGCTAAAATAACTGATTCTGCTTAACTACTTTGTGCATAAAATACTGAATCATGCCATGATGTCTGATCTGTATTCTATATAAAAAATATTAACATAGAATTTCCACTTTAACTGTTTTAAATGTCCATCAAGGTTATTTCTCAGAAATTTCCTTCACTGTGACTCAGAGTGTTGATCTCATATGTAAATATGCTAATGTTATAGGAAAAACATTAGAACAAAAAGCACCTGCTAGGTTCAGAGATTATGAACTATGATGTCAACTTACTAACAATGTAGAGAATCTCCTACCAGGGCAGCCAAATCTGCACTAAAGCTAAGATCCCAAATCTGACAAAAGTCACATTTCCGTCATCCTCCTTTCTCCCAGTCTTATAAAATTAAATGTTCTCCAGGTGTCTGTTAACTGTAATTTCCTAAAGAAATCATGTTATTTGATGTCATGTCTTTTAATAAGAAATAATCTGATTCCATTTTTCAAAATGCATTTTGTTTTGCATTGTGTATGCTTTCTGATTTGAGAGTGACCCTAACACTCATCTTACCTTCCATTTCAGAAGACAATAGATGCGGGTCTTCAAACACAGTCTCCTGTGCCAGGTGCCTTGAGCTGAGTCCAGAATGTGGATGGTGTGTTCAAGAGGTGTGCCTTTGTTATTTGTTTGTTTTAGTTGTTGCTTTGGAGTGTTCCTCATACTTGACTTTCTGTCTAGTTGATTTCATTGACTTCAGAGTCTGTGCCTTAAGGTGCATCAGAAAAAGAAAGATAATGTCAAGTATCAGTAAAGGTTTGTTTGGTTTTATGAGTGAAAACATCTATCTGTTTGAATACAGAATCAACTATAGCTTTTTATTGGGAAAATTATGGTAATTTTGAAATAAAATGCAAGCCATTTTATGATTTCCACATAGAGAGAGTTGGCCAACACAGATAGTAACATTTGATAGTTCAATAGGCTGATACAAAATTCTTGCTGTACCTTGAGGCATGAAGTTATACACAAGCTGGATTGTTCTGGTGCACTTGTTTATGAAAAAACCAAGGTAATTCGCTGATTTGTTTCATTTCTTAATGAAATGTTTGAAGTTTCATGACTTAGTTCATTTCCTAAAATTGTGTATCAATTTTTGGTTACTTATGAAAAAGTGATGCTTTTATTTTGGGGCTTGAAACTGTCCATGAAATATTGCACATTTAAATCCTATGAAATGGAGAATAATTTTTTAAAAAATTCTTATTGTTAAAAATAAATGTTTTGTATTCCATGAAGAAATATTATAACGATAGAATTCTTAGTAAAATTAAAATGCATTGTTATCTTTCTCTAAAATTGTTTTATGAAGTTTTAAAAACCAATTATCTTAAATTAGAGCTACTTATATGTAATGTTTCCCCCAAGGTGTCACCTACTAAATTGGAGTTTCTCTTTTCATGAGATTGCCTAGGTAGCTTTGTAGTTACTTATGCAGTTCCTGGGAATTACAACAGACAGGTTTTCAGAGCCTTGTGCTTGACATAGACATGAATTTCTAGTTTAGCTTCCTCTAATCTAGTTGAACAACTGAACTTACCAACATCTTGTCATCCACCCTTGTTACTTTCTCTCCTGAGGCACCCTTACGAGGGACAAAGAAAGCTGAAAAGTAGCCAGGGATGATGGGCGTCACTGTCTTCTATGAAGCAAATAGGGTACAGGCAAGGCAGAGATTCACAGAACAGCCCGAAAGTCAGCCTTTCCTGCTGACTGACTCAAGCTCCCTTACATGTTTGAGCTCCACAAGGAGAAAAATCAGATGTCATTCATGAACTAGGAAGTACCTTGCCACAACCCTACCTGTCAGGCAATGTCACAAAGGGAAGATTCCAGAGTTTCTGAGTCAAATCTCATCAGTTTTTATCAGCCAAAGACTGGATGGAATCCACATGTTCTCTGAACCACCTTTTCCTCACTCATCTCTGCAGCCTCGAATATGGAGTTGACTTGCAGGTTTTCCTGGGTCTGGAGTGTTTCACAGCCTGGTTTTCCTAATCCTAAGCCAATATTCCATTTTAGAATTTACTACATCATGAAGGAAGATCCTTGGAGCCCTGTAATTTGTGCCAACCCAACCTCAGAAGTTGAGTGCCTCAGCGAGAGTAGTTGGAGGAAGCCTTCAGAAGCCTTTTTGTCAGCCAAGTGCTATGAGGTTTCATAGAGACCCTTCTCCTCACAGCTGTTTAGCACAAAAATTGAGGAAAGCCAGCTTCTGCGAACGCCCATCCGTCTCGTCACAGACGGAGAGATTTAAGGATGTTCGGCGAGATGGGCAGTCAGAAAAAAGGAAGGACAATGTGGGCGAGGTCCTGAGGGGACAAAGAAATCCTGTGTCACCTGTCAGATTAATCCCTTGACAGGGAGCTCCATAAAACATTTAAACATATGCAAGGTTATTCTTGTCTACACACCACAGTGTGATTGTAGTTTATGTTTAGAAAGATCAAATCTGAAGAGAAACAAAATTGAATTTAAACACTAGTTCCGCTAGTTTCTAACTATAAACTTGATATGTTGCTTCATCCCTATCTCTAAAATGGAAATACTAATTGTACCTTCCCCATACTGTAATGAAAATATAATGAAGTAATATGTGGCATATGGCGCTGCTGAAGAAAGGGATTTGTAACTATAGATACTGTAGTGATGCTTAGGAAGCTAGGACTGCCTGTGTTAATATTTCAAGAGGGTTCTGGGGAGATGCCTTAAGGTGTAAAGTTCTTCTTGTACAAATACAAGGACCTGAGTTAGCATCCCTAGCACCCACATAAAAAACAGTTGTAGCAGCACCCATGTGTAACCCCAGCACTAGGAGGTGAAGACAGACAGATCCCTGGGGCTTGCTAACTAGCCAGTCTAGTTGAAATAACCAGCACCAAACTAAGATGAGGAAGAAATCAAAGACGACATCTTGGCATCAACTCCTGGCTTCCGTATGCACACATGTGTGCACACATGCATACACCACAAGCGCATGTAATAATAATAATAATAACAAAATAAAAAGTAGCATAATCTCTCTGGGGACACAACTAGTGCTAAATCTTGGCCACTGTCCTCATTACAAAGAAGAAAAGCTGTCCAAACCCTGCAGGCTGGCATGTCACTGTCAGGAGGCATGCCGCAATGTTGAGTTTTGGCAAGATCACCCATCCCAGATGCAGTTGGTGTCCCTGATTCTAAAAGCAACAAAGGCTTCTCCTGATCTTCATGACAGTGAAGGGACAGTAGCCCAAGATCACCCATCCCAGATGCAGTTGGTGTCCCTGATTCTAAAAGCAACAACAAAGGCTTCTCCTGATCTTCATGATAGTGAAGGGACAGTAGCATAGCACACATGCCCTGTATAATTTTCAAACCTGGTCAAAATACCCCTCCCTCTTAAGGCTCTGGGAATATCCCAGAAGCAGCAGTGGAAATGATGCAAGAGCTAAACGTTACAGAGAAGGGCTGAGAAAGGCCGTCTACTGGGCATGGTGCGTCCCTTGCATTCTTGAACTCACAGCAGCTACGGTCACCTCCACTGGGCCTGCCCAAGATGGCTTTATCAACAGTGGGTCATGAATGGGGGAGAGTCTCATAGGACCCTATCCCTTCCTGCTGAACTATTAACTATTGATAGATTCTGGGAGAGGTGGAGTCATTGTCATTAGTTGTATACCTACTGGTGCATTCACAAAGATATCCCTGGTCACAAAGATATCCCTGGCTATACTCAATGACTCACAAAAAAAAAGCAAAAAGACATGATTTATAGAGAAGAGGAGGCATTGAATGGGGGTGAGCAGATAGGTAGGAGACAATGAGAGTAGTCAGAATATATTATATACATGTATGAAACTGTCAAATAAATTTAATTAATGAAAACTCACTAAAAATGTAGACTACATGTACCCAAATTGCTTGCAATTTTGAGCAGCATTTTAATCTGTCATTCCTATCCTTTATTTCCACTTCTTCTACACTGCATAAAACTACTAGAAAATAATTAGGATAGAAAGAATCCAATAAATATTACCTAGTTAATGCTCATGTTCTTAGTCAACATCTATTAAAGACACATTGTTTTGAGCAATTCTGTCCCTTCTCTGTCTGGCACATCTGACAGGGTGTCACAGCATGGACAGAAGTTTGTCAGGTGGCATTGGGCCATAGCTGTCATAAAACAGGATGCAAAGGACCTTCGCTAGCCAGAGGGAGATGCTAGAGTCATTCCATTTCTATGCTGATTGCTATTTTGGGAGGTGAAAGAGACTCAGATATAAGTCAAAAACTGTGTTTTATTTATATACTCAGAACATATGCTAAACCGATAGAAGTAACTGGTGGAAGGCAAGCCACAGTAACTTGAGACTGGACCCTTCATTCTCAAAAGGTTTTAGCTGCAGAAAGTTACAGTATGATTTTGTCTATGTATTTTTTGTAGAAAAATTAAAACATAAAAATTAGAATAAATTAAAATGGCACAAGACGCCAAAAAATTAAAAGGGTGTGGCTTTAGATTGCTTGCCTTTATACAAAGTGGACAGTAGACCCCAATGGGCCGGAGCAGCAGTCCATGCTTGCCTTTGATGCCTTGGTCTTTTCCTTCCTTTTCAGGTCTAATTGGACAATTGACAGTGCTTTTTTGACTTAGTTTTTGCAGCCATGCTGATTCAGATATTGCAAAATAATTGAGACTATTTTGGCAATTTCAACAAAAGTCTTTGACATTTAAAGGTCACGTGTCAGAGCTTGATGTATAGTTACAGTAAATTAGATACCCTTCCTTCCTCTCCATTCCATACACTCAAAGTCAGATGTCTGGCAGGCTGAAAAGAAAAATCGGAGCTGTTTGTACTTTATTTTCTTTTCATGATCTGAAATCTTGGGGATGCCATTCTGTAAAATGCACATGGCCCTTCAGGATTTAACCTGTGAGTCATGAATGGTATATGCATCAAGGCTTGTCTACTCTCAGTGTCCCTACACTTGGGAGAAGGCCTTCTAACCCAGAGCTCTCTGGAATCCTACAGCAGTTGTTTCCTGCCTTCCCCTGAGGACTGCCAAACTGTTTGTAAACTACATCTCACTGATGTATCCAGGTACTACCAGTCTATAAGATAAATTTAGCTCTAAGAAGTCAAGGCTTTGACTATTTTAAACTCCTGGCCAAAACCTAGGTGACAGTTAATTGCAATGGAAAATTTAATGTATGTTTCTGTAATGCAGTTACCAAACAGCACCTGCAAATACTGGTTAGAAGGGACGCACTGCTTTTGCTCTTTCATTGTGTTTGATCACTAGCAACTCTGAGCTCCAAGGTCAACACTGTGAAGGACCACACAGTAAACCTGTATTCTGAAGCCATACACTATCTGTAGCAAATTCATTTTACCTGTTGTTTTGCCAGATTTGAAATATAGAAGGCAGTTTTGGGTATTCAAACCATATAAAAACAGGTGAAATGGCTGCATTTGTCCCACTAATCCTAATTTGCCAAGCTGCACTCTAAAATTGAGAAAGAAACAAATTTTTAAGTGAATGTTTTAGAATGCCCACCCTGATCCTACCTAATCACTCCCTGTCCAGGGGATGTCCCTGTGTATAATTAATAACCTTTGGCATGTCCATTTAAACTTGATCGTCTCCTCTTTGCATAGCCCTGTAATAGTCTGCTGTCCCTAAACTTAATTCCCGTAAGAATTATAGTTCCCTTTTTAGTGACTGAATTCACTCATGATCTGTTGACCTTGATACTGGGGACCCTTGCTGCCTTGTTCTCTGTCACCAGCACCCAGCAAACTGCTGTCTCTGAGTAAATCCCATTCAAAAATCTTTAATTGAATGACTGAGTAGAATCAAATTCCCTGAATCATCTGAATGAAAGGTGAAATGATTGAATGCTGGATCACAATAGTCCCTGCCAGGAAGAATACTGAACAAACATTCCTTTAACGATGAACAGCAGATAAAGGTTTAGAATCAAATGCAAAGTCAGGAGAGTTAAACTGCAATCTCATATTTCACCCCCTCGTCATAAGCATCGCCTTTGACTTATCCAATTATTTATAGCCTGTCTTTTTTAATAAGCGTTTAATGATCTAAAAAATTATATTTCTAGTTCATTCTTTTATGAATTGTCAGCACTGTTAGGCATGTAATTTCAAAGGAATAATTCTCATCTTCCAAACACAACCGTATAACAATAAACATGTCGATTAAGTTCTTTGAAACTTGAGGCTCACATTTGAAACCAATAACTGGTCTATTTTGGCTGCTTCTTTTTATACCTGTCTTTCCAAAGTAAAAGATTTAGGAAGAGTCAAGTTGATGAAACTTTACAGTGATGAGTTAATAACATTTAAAGGACTTGATTTAATTTACTTTTTAAAATAATTTTCTTATTTTTAAGTGAAATTTAGAAATTAAAGATTTATTCTTAACAAAATTAATTTTCTGTGTTATTGGAAGCATGCAGCTGTTTTACGCAGTTGCCTAATTTGTCCCACAATGGAAATGTCTTCTTTATAATGTTGACTTCATATTGGCTTCTTCAGGGGTAACTGAGATGACATGCTGAAAATATCAGTGATTTTCCTTCTTTTAAACAGGATTTCATTTCAGGTGGATCAAGAAGCGAACGTTGTGATACTGTTTCCAATTTGATAAGCAAAGGCTGCCCACTTGGTTCAATAGAATTCCCATCTGTGCATGTAGTATTACCGAGTGAGGATGAAATAAATACCCAAGTTACACCAGGAGAAGTCTCCATCCAACTGCGTCCAGGTTTGATGATTTTCAAAGAGATCTATGATAACTCTTAATTTGTGTTTACATTTAACCTTAATTTACTGACATTTAATATTAAGTAGCAGACAGTAGCGTAGTAAAAATCACAGTGAGCTTAGATCAAGAACAGGATTCTTATACCCATCATGCCTGTAGCTAGCTGTGTGGCCTGGGACATTGCAAACTTGACCACAACCTCTTATAATTCTGTGCTCTGATCACATAGTCCAATTACACTATGATGTACTTGTGTAATTGTAGCTCCACTGCAATTCTGAAAGAAATGGAACATTTGTACATTGATTTACTTATTTGGTGATGGGAGGGGGCACATGTATGCCATAGCACATGTGGAGGTCGGAGGACAACTTCCAGGGGTTGATTCCATCCTTCCACCATGTGGGTTCTGGGGACTAAACTAAGATCATCAAGGTTGGCAACAAGTGACTGTACCTGCTAAGACATCTCACCAGTGCAGAATGGAGGCATGTTTTATATATTCTTTCTTCAGTCCTCACAGAGTGCTGGAATACAGTGAAACCCACAAGTATTTATGGAATGCATTGATTCATTAATTAGAAGGAAGAATTAAACTATGAACTTTTAAACACAAGACTATCATTTATTATTATCATAATTACCCAAGCCAACTTAATAATGGCCCTTGAGATTAGTCTATACCTCTCCTCATACATTTCTGATATTCCCCTTCTGCTATAATATGACCCACAGATTGACACATGGTGTAGGATCTGGAAAGCATTCATTTCCTCCAGGGAAAGAGAATTCCAGTACATGAACTGTATACACAAAGATGTCAAGATACACAGATATGTACCACTCAATTGACTGAGCTAAAGCAATATTAAATTGCTTTCAAGTCTTCATTAGTTCACTGTGGGTGATCCTGTCTTGTTATTAGTTTTGGGTTTTTTAATAATAATAATTTTAAAAACTTTGCTGCTATACTCCTTATTCTACTCTAAATGCCCAACTTATTTTTCCAGACTCCTTGATTAACAGAAAAACATAGTCTATTTCTTTCTTGGCCCAAGATATGCTCCCAGCTTCCAATTAAGACTGTGTCCTTTACCATATAAAATACAATTCAGCTCATGTAGACGTGTATGCACCAGTTGGAAAGGGTTACACAATGATTACAGCAATTCTGATTCGGTTTTAAGATTATGGTTCTTGTCACCAACCATTGCAAAATAATAAAAATTAGGATTACTGAGCTCCTTTTTTAGAAAGAAAGAAACAAAAATGATGTGCTGTATTCACCCAATACAGTATTCCTTACACATGTATCTCTTGCACATACAGTCTTCTAATGTTGATTGCCCAAACATCTCTAATGATTTTTTTTCTCTTCCTGTTTTTATGATAGATTCATGATCCTAGGTTTTCTAAGTCCTTTGAGCCTCCATAGGTCTTCTCCTACACTACTAAAATCCTGTTTCTTGCCAATCTCCATATACTTGAAATATTTTCATCTAATGTCTTTTCCACCTTCACATACCAGTGCATTCCTGGGTGTCCTTATCTGTATTAATATGGAACAGCAACACACATGGCACTCTGTTCTGTTTTGGTTTCTGACTCAAATGTGCCTGGCCTGGGATATTCCCAGTGCACACTTGAATTTGAGGGCAAGTTGTGAACATGCTTTACTACAAGTCTGTCTTCAAATATTCCAGAATCCCATATCTCCATTCTGCTTGTCTTCAACAAGTTTTCCATAAAAAGAGAATTTAAAAACATTCCCTTTAATACATGCAGGCAAAATAAATAGGAATGGTAAAACAAAGCAACTCGGCTCAATCCCTTGATGCCTTAGTCTGTTTAGCTGCCATCACCAAATGTCAAGTGTTTGGTGATACAAATGCTAGAAATGGGGCTGGAGAGGTTGCTCAGTGGTTAAGACCACTGGCTGGTCTTACAGAGGACCCAAGTTGGATTCCCAGAACACACATGGCAGCTAACAACCATCTGTTCCTCCAGTTCCAGAGGATCTGACACCCTCTTCTGACCTCCTTGGGCATTGCACGACATGGGCACACTTACACACACACAAGCAATATACTCATGCAAATAAAATAAAAATAGTAATAAATGCTAGAAATATCTTTTCTCACAGTTCTGGAAAGGTTATCAATGCCAAATGCCAAAAATCAGGAAGAATCAAGATTAAGTGCTAGCAGGTTTGGTTCCTGGTGAGGATTCTCCTCCTGTGTACATATGGTCACCTTCCTGATGTGCCCTCCATGGTAAACAGGGAACATAGATGAAAAGGAGAGAATCTCTGCTGACCATCAATCCCACTTTTAAGGCCTGGCCTATGACCTCATCTAAAATGAATTACCTCCCAAGGTCCCAATGCCAAATACCAAAAACACTGGAGATTTGGCCTTCAACAAATGAATTTGAGGAGAATATTACTCAGTTTAAAATCTATTTAAATTAGATAAAAAAGAAATTATCCATATTTTAGACAGGAAAACACAGCCATAAAAAAATAAAAACATCTCATAAGCCAATATCTTTAGCACACTGCAATAAAATTTGATATTAACATAAAAAGATACAACCAAAATTCTTATCATAAACTAATAATAACAGTAATAAAATACATCAAAATACATAGGATGTAATGATTTGTTCTCAGGATAATTGAATGTTTCACTTTTATTTTTTAAAAAAAGAATCAATAGGAAGGTGGATCTGTGTGAGATCAAGGCCAGTATGGTCTACATAGGGAGTTCCAGGTCAGTTGGTGCTACAGGGAGACCCTGTCTTACATACATATGTACATATATACATATATGCATTAAAATGAATAAAAATGAACTGAGCAGCCAAACAAAGATATAAAACAGCAGAATAAACAACCATCAAAATATGGAAGAGGAATTCATAAACCTAAAAATAAACAACAAAATTAATGAACTACAAAATCAAAATAAATAAAATAGATGTATAAATACAAAAGTTGGTTCTCTATAAAGCTCCACAAGAGTAATAAATTGTTAGCAAACCTAATTAAGAAATAAAAACAAAATAAATAGCCTGATACATTAGAAATATGGAAACAGAAGCTTGGGAGATACTTCAGTTGGTGAAATGCTCATCTTGCAAGTATGAGTACCTGAGTTTATTCCCCAGAACCCATGTAAAATAATGCCACGCACAGTGACACACACTTGTAATAACAGTGTTGAGGAGGTGATAACTAGTAGATCCCAGGGTTCCATATTCAGCTAGTCAATAGGCTATTGATAAAGACTAACTCAAAAAGAGGTGGCCTGATGCCAGTCATGATGGCAGACTCTTTAATCCCAGCACTCAAGAAGCAGAAGCCGGTGGAGCTCTGCGAGATTGAAGCCAGTTTGGTCTAGTTAGCAAGTTCCAGGTTAGCTGGGGTTACTCAAAAAAAAGGTGGTCTGAAGAACAAATTCAAAGATATGCACATACACACACACTACATACATGTGCATCTATAAACATACACATAATCATAATAAAATTTGAAAAATTAGAAAATGAGACCATTAAGAAAATTCTAAGTATGAAAATCTATGGTAAAATGTTTAATCTTAATAACATAGATAATTTTCTGTGAAATATATACATGTCTAAAATTGACTGAAGAAGTAAAAAATATAAA